AATTGTTGTTACTAAAGATAATTGATTGTAAAATTAACACTTGTGAAGTTCATTTTTACCAGTCTTCTTTGATTTTAAAACAGCATCTGGGCAATCTCTTTTGAGGTGTTCAACTGACCCACAAATATTGCAGCCTCCACCTACAGTGACAAAGTTCCACATAAATAATGAATAAATGAATAATGGAAGGATGGATGGGAAAAGAGAATGGATAGATGAATGACTTCTTCAATGAATAGATAAACAAATGACGTACAATACCTTTTGGATACAGGCCTCTAGGGTTATCTGGACAGCTCCGTGATAAGTGACCAGTTTCTCCACAAATAAAACACTTTGCAAAAGGATATGGATTTTCAGCTGAAATATTGAATAAATAAAACAAAAAATTAATAAAATGATAGATACACAAACAACATGTGTAATTAATTTAAAACTAGACGCTCTATGAGCGTAAAGTCGGGCTACTCAGAGAATGGGAAGGGTGTCTCTAACTCTTGTCAGCAAGTCTTTTTGTTTCCCACAAAATGATGTACATGTATGGGTGTCCTTGATGGCAAGCAAAAGAAAGAGCAAAAACATTGCGATCAATCCCTGTCAGAAACTTGACGGCCTAGATTACATCACGCTTTACTTATATACCAGTATTTTTGCTTACTGAAAACCATACCATAAAATAATATAGCACACTAACAGAGGTGTAATGTTGTCATTAGTTACAATTGCAGTTTTCATTATTATTATGTAAAGCAACTTCCTTATATTATTGCCATGCATTTCTTCAGAATGTTTGATATTATGATCTAAGCACAATTCAGACATTCAATATGCACACCCTTAATTCAATTAAAATTGTTGAACGGTCAGCTCCAACATATAAATTYTGAAAGTAGTTCATAAATGTAGTACAGTCATTGATTTAAAAAAGCACACAASTACCTTTAAGATATGGTAAGCCAAGAAAATCTCTTGCATGAGAATCAAAAAGCTTGAATTCTCCATGACCTTTGCAATAAATAGCTACAGTGCTGCACTGAACAGTCATATAAAACTTGCATAGTAGCATTTCCAAAAGGCATTAAAAAATTCAAAACCAATGCTTGATGATATATCATGATATATCGTGTTACCAGTTTTGTTCAAATATATTGACTGTATAATTAAGGCAACTCTGTTAATAATAGGTTCTTTTGGTTATATATCCTTGACAGTTAATAACTTCTTTCCAACATTTACATTGCATTTTCTAAGGTCCACCAAAGACGTTATTGCAAGGCATGCAGTTTTTGCTATAAATCAATGTACATTGTTTCATTACATGACATTACCCAAACAGTCACATTTTGGCTTGAGATACCCTGCGTGCATAGGATTTTTCCAAAATCCTCTGCTCGCAGGGTACCTTGAGAGTACTAACACTATTTTGCTGTGATTTAATATCACTGCACATGCAGGGTGCTTGTTTTTTTTCTCTACTTAAATCAAACTTAGTATACAATGACTGATTTTGAGACTTTTATAAGTATGGGATAAATATTCGCAAATCAAAGTKAAATTGTGCATTTTGTGTTCTCTACCTTTCCTTAACCATAATTTGCAATATACTTGTAAATACATCCTTACAATTCAATTATTTAAAATATGTGTAAAGACTGTAAACGTTGTTTGCTTGAGATTCTGCATGGTTTTCGATCATGTTGAGGTGGTCAGATGAATCCGTCACATTCAGAAGCAACGAGCTTGGCATACCGAGACCTAATACATTTTTGTTTTGACATGGGACTTTTATCGTGACTTATAATTACATAAACACAATTTTTTTCTGCTTTTTCAAATGAATTACAATCATTTTTTAAAGACATTGGTACATTGTTTATGGACAATAAGTTTAAAAACCGGTTTAAATACAAAGCATAAACAGAGAAGACTGCGAAAAATTACACAGTAAATGGGAAAATATCACATTGACAAACCTATTTATTGCCATAAAACATCGCTATTACAACAAATTAACTTATCGCTGTGAGTCTAGAGCCAATTGTACAGGATTGTAGACATCTAATCGTTAGTCTTCTCGAAGAATTCAAATATGGCGTCCTTACATGTGCTGTTATAGTACTTCAATGTTTGGTCTTGTTAGGATTATTACTGTTGACGAAGGAGTAAGTATTTTCTAGGATTTGAACAACTTTTAGTGTTASTCTATCGCGAACGGCATGTCCATTTGTTGTTTTTTGATTGCAAAAGTATCCAAAGGATCAAACGTCGATGGAACGTAACACCTGCAGAGCACCATGTGACTTTGGTATTCCTGTGCTATCAAACCAAGAAATTATGGGAAATTTTGTTACTTBGTAGGTGTGCACGTGATTGCCTGATTATTATGGTTTATTTAACTCTGGGCTACCTGTGCCCTACTAATCCAATGTGTATCATTGGATGGACGTTTTACTACTCTGAGCATGCTCGTAATATTTTCAATCTGTTTCATGAAGAACAGTACTTCCCACATGGTTCTCAGTAAGCCAAAATATTAGTRTATAAGTCAAGCAAAATATAGTTACTTRCTATGAAGCAGTGTAGGCCCATAGGAGATGACGTTATGGTAAAGAGATAATGACATAATACAATRCATGACATCATGGTGACGTAATTACACAGGAACCCCGAATTAGAAATGTTTTAAAGTCCTACAATTATTTGAACTTCCGATTGACCAAACGCGACACGATAGATAGATAGATAGATACATTGACTAAAATGTAGAACTAAAGTCGGCCTAGCCATAGGCTAGYCYGACTAAKAATATTAGCTCTCATGATGTGCTTAGTAGAGTGATCGCGACTTCCACAAGCGGATCTTCGACTTCAGAAAGCTTTAGTAATTGCAATTTTGCGTCTTTGYCCAACCATGGAAGTTCTGAAGAGGAATTGTTCTCTCCTTCGAAACGGACTTGTGTCAACTATCAAAGACATGTATCTGTTGTTCATCAAACACTACAAACCGCACTTGAGACTGCTGATGAAACAGCTGACAACGCAACGCAAATATGTCATGATTCTGAAGACGAACTTACGACAGTGAACGAAGGTAAAACTATATATGTTACGTGCATATTTAAGTTTTTAATAAAAGCCTCTAAAATGTTTATCAACCATAATGATTATAATTGAAAGGGTGTTCAAAACAGCTGTTGAATCTTTAAAGTTGGCGACTAARTTGCTCCGCTCCGATAAACTTTTGAATGCACAATCACATRCAACTTTATGATTAACAATACTATTGAATTCCGTGCCTTTCTCAAAAGAGCCGGCATACCCAATTTCTATTGTTCCAGTATCTTTAAAGTTGCGCCTTGGTCCGCTCCGCTAAACTTTCCAGTCACATGCATTCAAAGCTATTGAATTCTTTGTCATTCTCAAAAGATCCGTCATACATTTTTTCCCTTGAATGTGACATGTATATTTGAAAGTTAAATAAAATATTATTTTTGATTAGAATATAAAACTTATTTTGAGGTTTTATAGGCATACAGAATCAAAATGTTTTCTGTGAAATCACTTGAAAATGAATATATTATCATATATATGAATAAAAATMATTTATTGAGTTTCAATTAAATTATATTTGACAGGTGGCAGACTGAACTTCTTACAGAATTATCAAGAAGATTTCAGTAGTGACAAAAGCTTGCCTGAAGCTCAGTCCACAGAAACAGACTCTTCTGGRATGGAGTCGGAAAGTGAAATACCTTCTGATAGCAGTGACACAGATGTGGACAATGCTCCCCTTTGTGCTGGTTCTACTCTTTCCCAAAAGAATTTTAAAGGGGCTTTTCTAGCACTTTCTCAGAGATATAATCTTTCATCTAAAGCTAGATAGTATCCTTAAACTAATGAAGATGGCATTACCCAAGAATAATGGATGTCCCTCGTCTTATTATCAGCTTGACAAGTCACTAAAAGACATTGGATATAGTTTTGTCAAACATATTAACATGTCAAAATTGCCAGAAACTCCTGCATAACAATAATTGCATTAATGATGATTGCAGTGAACATGGTACTCACTCAGTGGGAGAGAATTCAAGTACATTTTATGTGATTCACCTAGAACCAGAACTTAAAAGAGTAATTTCAGGTAAGAAATTAGCAATTTTCTCTTATGATAATTGGCAGCCAAAAMGTATGAAAAGTCATGGGTTTGATTCCTATTAAAGCAGTTTTTCAGACGATGCATTTATCAATAATCACTTACTAGTAAGATTGTTATAAATTCACTATAAATTCAATCATTATTCCTACACATGAATTTATGCATTTATTCAATTTCATGTCTTACAGAAAACTGGTCTTCAGTGAAAAACTTTGTTGAAAACCATGAATATCAACCTGGTATTTATAGAGACATTATAGATGGGGCAGTGTACCAGCAGCAGAGTGCTAAGGTGAAGAGAGATGGCAGCTTCTGTATTTCTATATACTGGCATCTCGATGGGRCTCCTGCACTTAAATCAAAGAGTGTGTCATTATGGCCCATACAAAGTTTTATTGCTGAGCTCCCTCTTGCAATGAGGTATTCATACAATAATATCATATTATCTGGTTTATGGTAAGGAAAGAAGAAGCCTGACATAGACACATTCCAAAAAACATTTGTAGAAGAAGTTAAAAACCTTCAAATGGGATTCCATATTGACTTAGAGGGAACACCAAAGTGTAAACTTAATGTGAATGGACAAGCTGCAGATCTCATTGCCAAAGGTCCATCTGTAAATTTTAAGTTATTTAATGGTAAATTTGGATGCAACTACTGTTTACATCCTGGACAGAGACTTCCTGGAAGAGGGAACGTAAGAATTTACTTACCTGGTAAATTTGGTCCTAGGAATCATTCTGATTCCCTGTGTCATGCTGAGCTTGCTGCTCTAACTGGAGAACCTGTTTTTGGAATAAAAGGTCCTTCAGTTGTACATGRAATCTTGGAAATCCCAAAAATGCTTCTATTTGATTACATGCACCAAGTCCTTGAGGGGGAATACACCWGAAGGCTGACAAAGTGGTTAAATGGAGTCAGGTCGCAGCTCTAATAAGGTGCTCTCTGATTGGCTAGCCGGCTGGATTTGCATATCATATTTTATGGAGATACGCTGCAATTCTGATYGGCCAATTAGCTAGATTCGCAAGTTGATATTCGTCGTGTACCAATTTAAGCAATTGATAGCAATTGAAGACTGTTTCACCT